TTTTTTTTTTTGTTAGGTTTTTTTGCAGTCCTCTGGATTCTGTGGATTGCATATCAAAGAAAGAGAACAGCCAGCCTCTAGATGAAGCTTCTGTCACAGATAAAGTGACCAATCTCAGTGAGTCAGATTGTCGAGACCTAGAAGGCAGGAAGCTGGTCGATACAAACATAGCACATAATTCAAATGATCAGGTTCCAAAGGATGTGACTGTGTTTGCTGATGAAGAGTCTCAGTCTCTTGGAACCAGCAAATTCACAAAGACTGTTTCACCACCAGCAAACATAGCACATAATTCAAGTGATCAGGTTCCAAAGGTTGTGACTGTATTTGCTGATGAAGAGTCTCAGTCTCTTGGAACCAGCAAATTCACAAAGACTGTTTCACCACCAACTCTGGGAACTCTAAGAAGTTGTTTTAGTTGGTCTGGAAGTCTCGGGGGTTTTTCCAGAACTCCAAGCCCCACCCCAGGCACAGCGTTGCAGCAGTTGTGTAGAATGAGTGATTCCTTCGCTGCTATGCCTGAGAACAATACAGTGTCCCAGACATCTCAGTCAAAGAGTGATGAGTCTGGTGGTGAGTCTCCACCCTTACATGACATGGAGCGGTCTTCACAGTCTCAGGAAAGTGAAGAGTTATCATCACACAGTATAAATACTTCAAAACTTTCTCAGCCTTCCAGTAAAGATTCTGATTCAGAGGTAAGTCATATCATGAGACCCCTGTTTATAAATATATGTGTAAGAAAGAAAAAGGTGTTAATCATACAATTGAGGAAAATGTGCCTACATTATTTAATTATTGGTTATGTTAATTTTTCATTCTGTCTACAAAGTTAACATTTCATTGATTTGAAGAACTTCTCTCTGTATCTTTCTTTTTTCCAACTCCTGTACATTTAAACCAACTCTATACTTCTACACACTGTGTGTTCAAGTTTTGGCATGGTTAATACCTAGGCAGAGGCCCCAGGCACAGTGGCTCACACCTGTAATTCCAGCCCCTCAGGAGTCTGAGACAGGAGGATCATGAGTTCAAAGCCAGCCTCAGCAACTCAGTGAGACTGTGTCTCTAAAATACAAAATAGGGCTGGGGATGTGGCTCAGTGGTTGAGTGCCCCCGAGTTCAATCCCCAAAAAACAAACAAACAAAAACCACCTAAGCAGAATAATCTGTAGAATAAAAATTTATTATAAATTTGATACTTAAATTAATATAAGCTTAAATTCAAATAACATTTGAGACCTTATAAAGAAATGACCCTATTAATGTGAAGTTGTCTATGTTAAGTTTTAGTACTTCAGAAAATATATACTTTCATTTATTTTTATTTCCTAAACTTTATAATAAAATAAAATAGTAATATCAGTGATTTTATTAAGCATCCTAACCACCTTTTTCTTCTGTATAAAATATCTTTTATTCTGATTTTGATTTTTTTATTTCTGACTTTGATTTGATTAAAATCAAAACTCCTAATAAGTACTGCTCATAAAATCCAAGTGACATAGTTTAAAATGACCTGGTGGCATTATCTCAAATTTACCAACATAACATTCTGTTTTATTTTTACCCAAATAATTACCACATTGTAAGAACAATTACAAACACAGTAATATTTGACAATTAGATGTCTGATAATCCTGAGTGTCAAATGACATCTAATAAATCAGTACAGCTTATGTTCTTTAAAAAGAAAATATTTAAGTTCTCAAAGGAAACTTGAGTTTGGGTTCTAGTTGAAGGAAAATACCAAGTTAAAATGTGGAAATAAATTGTTTTCATTTGAAGAAAGCTGAAATCAAAAATTTATATAATTGAATCATCAGTCATTCATCTGTAGCATTTTTTAAGCCAAACCCTTGACTGTCTATGAGACTTCAATATTCTTTTCTCTTACTTTTTTCATATTGAGTACTGTCCTTACTAGTCTAGAAGACTGTTTCTTTTAATGTGTATCTCCATTTTAATGCCATCTTTCTCATCTTTCACGCATACTACTTTTCCTCTTGGTGTGTTTTGAGTACCACCACAGTTGCTATCACTTGAATGTTTTTTAATAAAATGTTACTGTCAGGGAGGATACTTGCCAGTCTGCTGAGCACCTTTGGGGCATTTTATTTCTTTTTTGGTGTGCATCTTTGTTTCACTTTGTAAAGTTTTACCCGTGTCTTACTGAGTAGCCATCTTTATCAGCTCACAGACAGAGAACTCTGCACACTTGTCTGAGCTAACCATTTTTTATATTGACCTGTTATAGAAATATGAACCTTTATCCTCCAAAAGTAAACAAACCAAGAATAATTCATTGAGTTGTCTCTTCTGCTGCCAGATATAATAAATTCCTCTTAGGATAGATTGTTAATTATAGCATATGTGTATAACCTCAGCTATTTGGGAGACTGAGGAAAGAGGATCACAAGTTCAAGGCTATCATGGGCAACATAGTGACAGCCTGTCTCAGGAAAAACAAAAAATATGTGTCAGTTTGATCATATGACTATGAGAAATGGGAGTCTTCGGGCTGATATTTCAATGTAATCTTAGGATCTTTCTCATGATCTTTATTGTAAGAAATGGTTTAGCCCAACTGGGCACAGTGGCACGTGCCTATAATCCCAGTGCTTGGGAGGCTAAGGGAGAAGGATCACAAATTTGAGGCCAGCTTCAGCAACTTAGCAAGACCTTGTCTCAATAAGTAGAAATAAAAATTTAAAAAATGGGGATGTAGTTCAGTGTAAAGTACCCTTGGGTTCAATCCCCAGTCACAAAAATAAAAAAGAAATTATTTGGCCCAGAGTCACCGCTACTGTTAGCTATGAGGAAGAAATATTAGAGTTTCTGTAAGGTACAAGTCAGTGGAGTCTTATTCACTATGATTGTGGTGGTTGTTTGAGTATAATACAGCATAGAGTTCCAATATTTTTTTTTAAATCTTGAAAAATGAAGAAATAAAGCTTTTTGAGTGTTTACTCATCCTTTTTTATTTTATAATGTTGAACATGTTACAATTTAAAGAAGAGATGTGGAGCTACATTGGTTCAGCTTTTTATAGCTAATAATTTATGAAAACCATTAGTCTAGCATGGGTAAAGCTATAGTATTATAGTAAAAGATTCTAGTTTTATCTGAGTCAGAATTTTGACAAGCTACTCAAATGTTTCAGAAAAGGAAAAGCCTTCAAAATTTTAAATATATGTTTTATACAATTTACTTCTCTAGGTGAAACATTGCCTAGTTTCTTCAATGAAACTGGCAACTATCATCCTTTCCATATTAAATTTATTTTATTTTATTAATTCCATGCCATGTTTTTAGTCTTTTTCTGTGAAATTATTACTGATTTTCTCATCTTATTTTTCTTCCTGTTGAGTATTGGTTAGTTGTCATGAAAATACCACTAGTAAAAATCTAATTTATTTTCTTTCTGATCTGGGGATATAGGAATTTGATTGTAATATGGAGTCACTTGATAATCAAGGTAATCAGAACTATAAGCAGTGTTTATCTCGTTTCTCAAAGAAAGACACACTTCTAAGGAACAAGGTAAAATTTTATTTATTTTTAATTTCAGAAACTATACATGCTTATAACAAGAAAATGAAAAATATAAGCAAAACTTATAAATTAAAATACTTAAATTGTGATTTATTTTAAAAAGTCGACTTTCTTACTTTCTTACTTCCTAGAATAGTATCTGTGCTTAAAGATAGGTATTTAAGGTGTTAAGTTGAAACTTCTTTTACAGGTAGTAGAGATCTTTTTCCAAGTACTATTATAGTAGTCATTTACCCTTAAAATTTTTTTGCTATAGTTAAACAATATTACAACCAAGATCTTCTCGGTAAATAGTTGAGTACATACCCTGATTATCTGTAGGGATAAATTCCATGGAGTGGTATTATTGGTCCCAATGCATGCATGTTTTAATGCTTTGACATGTATTATAAAATGCTTCTAAAATCTGTGGACCCAGGATAAGCCAGGTTTTTTTTTTTTTTTTTTTTTTTTGTAACTTTTCCATTCTTTATACACTCTTTGCCAGATTATATACCTTCTATTTTATATACCTCTTAACTATACTGAGAATCAACAACAAAACATCAATGGCTCCATATTGTCCACAGAATGAAAATTAACTCTTCGATGGAAATAAAAATGTTGATAGAAATTTAAGTACATAATGCCACATTTGTGCAATGGAAGAACAGGCAACTTATTCAAAATAAAAGTCAGTTCTACATGTGAAAAAGAAAAATCTCTAACATATATCATTCATTAAGTGGAATCAAAGAAAGCAAAGTAATTATTGTGCAGTCTTCTGTCAGTTTTGTGTGCATGCTCATGTGTGCAAATAATTTAGTGGATGCACAGAAAACTGGTAACAGCAGTTGCCTCTCTAGAGGTAAAGTAGAAATGAATGAGACACATTCCTCTCTGTTCATTTATGACTCTAAAATTTTATGCTAGGTGCAGGTATTACCCATTAAAATATTATGATTATCTCTATAGTAGTCATCTGTAAATAACACATTTTTATACTTTGTTTATGCATTATTTTTTGGTACTGATGAATAAACAATACTTTTAAATTAATTAAAGGTAGTTGCCTAATAGAGTAATGATAACATGAGCATTTAATCTTTAGGTTCCTGGGCTGTATAAATCCAGTTCTGTGGACTCACTTTCCACAACAAAGATCAAACCTCTAGTACCTGCTAGAGTCAGTGGACTAAGCAAGAAGTCATCAAGCATCCAAAAGAGAAATCATCATAATGCTGAGAACAAGCCAGGATTACAGATAAAAATAAGCGAGCTCTGGAAAAATTTTGGATTTAAAAAGTGAGTTGTCTTGTTCCTTGTTCTGAAATAAGATGAGCTATTGTTGTTTTCCACAATTCCAATCCCTGTCTCCCAACTCTCTCTACTTTCATGTGAATCAATTTCTGTTTCTCACACCATCAGTTTTCAGTGTGGCTTCTGGAGTCTCTGTTTCACCTATTATTTCTTAGAATTTTAATGAGAAGAAACTTTTAAAGAGAGGGTGAGAGTGCTGTGTTATAATTCCCTAAATTATCATATCTAAAATGGGGAGAATCACAGAGTTTACTTGATGAATTTGCCAGACTTCTAATGTATGTGGTAAGCATTATTTTAAAATAAATGATCTTTAAAATTGCTACATATTCTTCCTTCTGTTAGACTTCAGAATAAAGCCACAACATAGCATTAATTTATAATTATTTTCTTATACTTTCTCAATAAAGCAAATGTGTTAATAAGCTTAATAAATATGTGTAGCGGGGGAGCAAACATGGGGATGATAGAATTAAACTTTACCTGATAGAAGTATTGTTACAGTCAGATGAACTGGTATGAGTAGAAATACTTTTCAAGTATTAGACAATTGTTTCTTATTTTGTGTATATGTATGTAAAGTCTAATATTAAACTCAGCAACAATTCTCAAACTTTATTTTCAGGAAACCTTTATACAGGAGCACTTAACTATCCTAGAAAAGAGGAAAGACATTTAACAAAATACTCAATTTTTAAATAACAATAATAAGCCATGTGAACATGCCGTATTTTTTATGAAAAAAAATGCTATATTTTTCAAAACAAACAAAAAAATTTAAAAAGAGTGGCATTGTTTTTTTAAAAAAATATGTAATTTTTTTTTTTTTTTTTTTTTTTTTAGTAGTTAGACACAATACCTGTATTTTATTTACTTATTTTTATGTGGTGCTGTTGATTGAACCCAGTGTCTCGCACATGCTAGGGGAGTGCACTACTAGTGAGCCACAACCCAGCCCAAGAGTGGCATTGTTTTACATTTGCAGATGTTTTGGTTGAAAAGTATATGAAAAAATATAACCCAACACATATTTGCATTTGGAAAGTGTTTATTTTATTTTACTTTTTAAAAGATTTTTGTTGTTGTTGTTGTTGTAGATGGACATGATAAATTTTTATTTTATTCATTCTTTTATGTGGGCTGAGGATTGAACCCAGTACCTCACACATGCTAGGTGGGCACTCCACCACTGAGCCACAACCCCAGTCCCAGGAATGTGTTTATTAGATAATTGTAAGCTTCTTTCTTTGCCATTCCATCAAATTTCAATAAACAGTAGTTTTTTTAAGGTTACTTACAACAGACTGTGGGTTCAATATCCACTGATTATTTGTGTTGTCTGGAACATTATAACCCACTTTTTTAATGCATCTTTACCCATTGATTGTTTGGGAAATACTGGTTCATTGAATTGTACTTTTCTTACAAATACTGACTAATTTCATTTTATGATATAAGGAACAAAATCACAATTAGCAGTCTTAAACATTTGGAAGCTTTCCAGCAGAGGACACAAGTTTTTCAGAATTTTAATTTTTACTTAAAAGTTTGAAATTTATCTGGGCAATAAGTATTGTTACTTATTTCCTTCATGATGATGCTCTCTTTGTTCCTTTGCCAAACACCTAAAAATTGTTGGGTGTTTTTGTTGGTTTTTGGTACCAGTGATTGGTTTACACATGCTTTCTATTTTGTCACAAAATATTAAGTATACCAAAGGATTGAGATTTTTAAAAATTAGTGATTTTTACTGCTTCATCAAGTATATTCTTGAAACTTTTTCTGGGTTTTTTTGTTTGTTTGTTTGTTTGTTTGTTTTAACTGCAAGTGCACAGTAATGGAAAATACAAGAGCACTAGCATTACTTAAGAAATTTCATATCACTACTTTGACTCATGCCAAGTTGCTGGCCACTTTACCCAATTCCGCTTTAGCATTAGTGCAAATGTCAGCACAGTGGAAAAACAGATAAGGTCTAAAAATTATTATAAAATAATTTCAATCTTACAAACTCCCGGAAAGTGTCTTGAATCTCCATGGCCCATGGAACATATTTGGAGAACTGCTGTTGGAGAGAAATGAAGGGTACAATAGTATTACATGCCTTTAGAAAATAAGACTTACTGGTGTTTAATTTTGTTAACAGGAAATAGAAATATGTAATCTTCATAAAAGATTAATTTATGAGGACATATAGCTGTCTTTCATTAAAAGCAAGAAAGGGGATAAAAAATTGGGTTTAATCATTTGTTATGCTTCACCTATACTGATTCTTAGCCAGACTTGAGAAGAGTCCTACAGAGAAATGAATTAAAATTTCTCTATTGGAATCTTTCTGCCTTAGCTACTATATATCTAGTAATGGCCTCGAACCTATATTGAAAGGCAGGAAGGGACTTTAAGAAGAAAAACTCAAAATTTATTGAAAATACTTAGAGGAGAATCTGAATGTGATCCACAATGAGTGAGAGATTATCGAGTAAAGGGTTTTATCCTTTCCATAAACCTCTATTTTTTCCAAGTATTTTATTGTCTAATAATCATTACCATAAAAATACCTAATTTATTTTATTGTATTTTGCAGAGATTCTGAAAAGCTTCCTTCTTGTAAGAAGCCCCTGTCTCCAGTCAGAGATAATATCCAACTAACTCCAGAAACAGAAGATGATATATACAACAAAGCTGAATGTTCACATGTTCAGAGAGCAATATTTCAGTAAATTCAGACTACTGGGAAAATCTGATCAATTTGAGCTCCCTATTTGAAGATGAGGGAGTTACCAGCCTGAAAGATTGGTTCTTAAATGCCCCTTTTTAAATACAATACATTTTGTATATTAACTACGTAATTGTTTCTATTGCTCAGCTTTTTATATTTTCGTAAGAAGCTAAATAGAAGAGTAATTTAGTCTTTGACAGGTTTTTTTTTTTTTTGAAGCTTTTATGTTAACTGGGAAAATCCACTGTAGTTTCTAAAAATCTACAGACTTTTGTAATGTCCAGTATAAGATAGTAAATGGAAAGCCACAATTCTATATAATCTTTTTGTTATAGAAGAAATCACTTTCTTAAGCCTTTAAATATTTCCAGTTGCCTTTCTTGTCTATCCTCAGCATTGAATTGTAAATAAAGTTACTGGGATGGGAGGGGTAGTTGGAAGGGTTAACGGTCATTACACAGATGGAAGGATGTTCTATTATCCCTGAAATTTGGTTGAGTTATGGGTTGACAGTGGAAGAAAATTATTTTCAGCCTCATGTAAAAGAAACTACTTACATTGTTAATATTCTTAAACTTAAAAATAGCTTGTTTTCTTTCACATATCTTTTTTTTAAGTGTAGACTCAAAAACACTTATTTAAAATTAGTTCCTGAAATGCTACATAAGATACAAAAGCTGCAAATCTGTGAAAGGTACATTCTGCAAAGAAATAGGCAGATGCCTAGAAAAAGAATCACCTACACAAGTGAAGATCTGCAATGACAGGAAGTAGAGACATCACTAAAGTGTTTTTGATATAGAGCATAAAAGAGAGGGATCCAGAGTATTTTAATTTTTAAATAAAAAATAATATTAAAGAGACCCAGTCTGGAAAAGACCTAATCCAAAGAGCAAAATATTTTAATTCCCTGTGAATGTTTCCTGTTGTAGAACAAATTAAAATGTGAATCACATTTTCTACAAACATCTCATTCATAATGATAACTTAAATGGTAGAAAATGAATAATATACTATAAATCCACAAGGGTTAACAGAATGGAAGAAGAGACATCAGGTATGGAAACTGGATTGGGGGGTAGGGGTAAATGATTTACAAAGAAATGATTGTTTTTTTTTTTTTTTTTTCTGGTTCCAAAGGCCAACAAGAGGTAAAATTCTAGGTGGGCTCCGTAAGGAGTGACATGCGGTTCCTATGAAGCCAAAGGTTCAAAGTAAGACTGAAAACAGGATGGGTTTTGAAAACCTTTAAAAACAGCATGGAAAATCAGTATATACACCTGTAATGCACCAATTTTTTTAATGTGGGGGAAAAAATAGCATGGGAAAAGGGAAGATGGCAGCAGTCCCATAGTTTTCAATGTCCAAACTCTCATTTAACAGTGATTGGAAAGCAAATCAAAAGCTCATAAACATTTACAATAAATTTGGGTGACATGGCATACTACGTCCCAAAGTATAAGTGTGTGAAGATAAGCCACCAAAAGCTACAGTAGCACTAGATGGTATTGGCATTTATTCAGGTGAAATAGGTGTGGGGAGAAGATACATAATGAACTGAAAATTCTGAATGACCATCCAAGTGCACAGCAGGCCAAAGTGAGGACAGCATTTGAAATGGGAAGGGGCCCTGTCTAAATCAATGGTGAATTAATGCAAGATACCTGCAGTCAAGACTGAAGCCAACCAGTCCCTGTGAGCCATGACAGATGGAGACTCCTCCACCAGGTTTGTCATGACTCTTCCAGGCTAGGGTACCTCGGAAGTCAAACTGAGCAAAATATGGAAAAGTTAAGTATACAAGGAGAATAGCAGCCAACCAGAAAATCAAAACAGGATACCCTAGTTTTGAACGCTTAAAGGTAGAAAAGTTCCCTTCCAGACCACTTGGATAAAGCAAATATTGCAACAAAACAAGTCATAAAATTGTTGGCTTCCCAGTGTATATAAAATTTATGTTTATGCTACTATAATCTTGCAAGAGCATATCTAAAAAATGAATATATGAACTAAAAATATTGCTAAAAGAATCTAATATTTATCTGAGTCTTCAGCAAGTTATAATTTTTGCCACGTAAGGGCTTGCCTCATGTTGATGGCTACAGACTGATTAGGGTGTTGGTTGCTGAAGGTTGGGGTGGCTGTGGAAATTTCTTAAAATACCCGTGATTTGGTGCCTTGAGTGACTCTTCCTTTCATGAAAGATTTCTCTGTAGCATGCAGTGCTATTTAATGGCACTTTATCTACACAGTAGAACTTCTTTCAAAATTGTAATTAAGTCTCTCAAATCCTGCCTCTGCTTTATCAATTAAGTTTTTGTAATATTTTAAATTCTTTGTTGTCATTTTAACAATGTGCACAGCATCTTCACCAGGGATAGATTCCATCCCAAAAAACTTATTCACCCTTATTCATAGGAAGCAGTTCCTCATTCATTCAAGTTTTATCCTGAGATTGCAGCAATTCAGTAACATCTGAAAACTCCACTTCCAATTCTAGTTCTCTTGCTATGTCCATCACATCTGTAGTTACTTCCTCTACTAAAGTCCTGAACCACTCAAGGACACCTATGAGGGTTGGAATCAACTTCCTCCAAACTGCCATTAATGTAAATGTTTTGGCCTCCTTTTGTGAATCAAGAATGTTTTTAGTGGCATCTAGTATGGTGACTCCTTTCCAGAGGATTTTCTATTTACTTCGCCTGAATTCATCAGAAGAATTATTTCCTATAGCAGTTATTTTATATATATATATTTTTTGGTACCATGGCTTGAACTCAGGGGCACTGGACCACTGAGTCACATCCCCAGCCTGTTTTGTATTATTTAGAGACAGAGCCTCAATGAGTGGCTTAGCACCTTGCTATATTGCTGAGGCTGGCTTCGAACTTGCAATCTTCCTGCCTCAGCCTCCCCAGCTGCTGGAATTAAAGACATGTGCCACCATGCTTGCCACAAAATATATTTCTTAAATATTAAGACTTAAAAGTCAAAATCATTCCTTGATCTCTGCCTGCAGGATGAATGTTGTGTTGGCAGGCCTGAAAACATTAACCTTATACATCTCCACCTGAGTTCTGGGGTCATCAAGGTGCATTGTTAATGAGCAAGAGTGTTTTGAAAGGAATAGTTTTTCTGAACAGTGAGTTTAAACTATTCAGTAAACCATGCTATAAACAGATGTGCTATAAATCAATTTTAGTTATTCTACTTACAGAGCACAGGCAGAGTAGATTTAATATAATTTTTTAGGGCCCTGGGATTTTCAGAATAGTAAAAGAACAGTGGATTCAACTTCAATTTACCAGCTTCAGACGCTCTCAATAAGAGTTAGCCTGTCCTTTGAAGCTTTGAAGCTAAATATTGACTTCTCTCTAGCTATGAAAATCCCTGTAATCACAGCAACTTGGGAGTCTGAGTCAAGAGGATCACAAGTTTGAGGCTAGCCTCCACAACTTAAAAAGCCCCTGTCTCATAATTTTTAAAATGAATAAATACAAAGGGCTAGGATGTGGCTCAGTGATAAAGTGTCCCTGAGTTCAATCTCCAGAAAACCCAATCCCCCAATCTAAATCTAGTTACAAGAGTTTTAGATGGCATTTTCATTTACATTGAAACCCATTGATTAGTTTAGTCATATTCATCTTTTACCTTTGCTCTATCTTCTGGGTAAGTTGTTGCAGCTTCTACCCCATCACTTGCTGCTTCACCTCGCTAGCTTTTGATTTAAAGTGAGAAACTACAAGTTCTCCTTTCATTTGAACACTGAGAAGCCATTTTAGTAGGTTAATTTTGGTATTGTGGTGTCTTGAGTAGGGAAGCCCCAGTAGAGAGACATGGCAGCAGCTGGTTGGTGAAGCAGTCAGAATACACACAACATTCACTGATAAAGTTTGATATTTTATACAGGTATTGTTTGTGATGTCCCAAGACAATTAGAACGATAACATCAAAGATCACTGATCGCAGATCACCACAGCAGACTTAACAAAATGAAACAGTTTGAAATGTGAGAATTACCAAAATGTGGCGCAGACACATATACTGTTAGATAAATGGTGCTGGTAGATCTGTTTGATGCAGGGTTGCCACAAACCTTCAGTCTGGACAAAATGCTTATTGCAAAGTGATATAAGCCTGAAATAACAAGGTGTGGTAGTGATGCATACCTGCAGTCTCAGCAACCTAGGAGGCCGAGGCAGGAGAATTCCAAGTCAGAGGCCAGCCTCAGCAATTTAACAAGACTTAGTGAGACCCTATCTCAAAATGAAAAATTGAAAAAGGCCTGGGGATGTGACTTAGTGGTAAATTGTCTCTGGTTTCAATCCCCAGAACCAAAAAAAAAAAAAAAAAAAGGTATGCCTGTATTTTAATTTCTCCTATTTTTTTTTTTTTGAGAACCAGGGTTCTTAGCATGGGGGAAAGAAAACAATATGAGATGACTAGGTGAATTTTTAAAAATTTTTGGTAGTTATGAATTTGAATTAACATACTGATATAAATTTATGAATATATATTGATTTTTCTGTGCATGTACACATATTCATAAATTTCTACCACTATGTCCAATTTAAGTTCTTAACTACTATGATCTCTAGAATATTTGCCAACAGAAACAAAGACTTCTTGGGGCAAATAGTCTCTGTCAAGAAATATAAAAGATAAGCCTGGGGTATCCTATTAAGACAGACAGACATTGGAACTAGGGACATGGCTCAGTGGTAGAGTGCTTGTCTACCCATACATGTAGCTCCAAGTTTGATCCCCAGCACCTAAAACAACAACAACAACAACAAAAGGACATCATCAAAGGCAATAAGGTAATTTCAAAAAGATTTAAGAGCAGGGCTGGGATTGTGGCTCAGTGGCAGAGCACTTGCCTTGCATATATGAGGCACTGGGTTCGATCCTCAGCACCACATAAAAATAAATAAATAAAGGTATTGTAAAAAAAAAAAAAAGATTTAAGAGCCAAATTAAAGGTACTCTTACTTTAATACA